GGGGGGGGGGGGGGGGGGGGGGGGGAGTTTTTATGTTCTGTAGGAGGCCTCACAACTCAAAACCTGGAAAGCCATTGGTGTACTGACACGTCTGCATATAATTAAGCTCTTTGATGACGTGGTAAAGAATTATTGGTTAAGTTTGCTTTGACTTAATTTAATGGGTGTGTAGTGGGTTCACATATCAATAAAAAAGCAACCCGAACTTCCAAGTGAAATGATCAAGGAAATAATCATGTGGGGGTCTTGGTGGTTACTCGAAGATGAGGACTTTGACCAACATTTACACCACAAAAGGACAAAAAAAACCCAATGACTTTAAATATTTTTTTAGAGTTAATTTATAAGAAATTTATTTTTTTAAAATATTTTAATTTTAACGTAAATAATTTATTTTTGTTCAAATAATAAAAAAATTAGTCAAAGTGATCATAAGCAAGCTCGAATATCTCTAACCTCTGAAAAAAAAAAAACACTTCTAAGAAAGTAGGACGAGATATAAATTTGAATATTTTAAGTTCAAAATTTAGTATTTTTTTAGGATAAAATTATTAAAAATTTATCTCTCATGAATTTTTTAATTTTGATGTGGATAATTTGTCTTTGACTAAACTGAGAAGGGAATTAGTCGAGATATATGTAAACTAATTTTTTGAATAAGAATATGGTAACAAAAAATAAATTTTACACACAAATTTGATTTTGATTTGTTTATAATTATTAATCATCGAAATAATAATAATAAGATATGCATTTTATCTTATTTTTATTAGTTGAAAAAAAAAATATGGACTCTAAAGAGCAAGAAATTGAGAGTTTAATAATTTTTTTGTAACTTGTCTCTATTGTTATCCAACCATAAGAATACCTAGAATTTATTATTATAAAATTATTTTATTAATCCAATGACCAATAACTATAAATAACTCAAACTAAAGAAAACAAAAACAAAAAAAAAAAAAAACCATGTGGGCTTATTAAAGAAGCCAAAAATTCAGCTGAAGCCAACTAAGATGAAAAGTAGGGTTGGGGCTTTTGATCAATTAGAGTTGTTCTTCTGTTTGGTAGAGAGTCAATTTCAATCCACAAGCAAAAAGGATGAGGTGGTCCAGGTATTCCTAACTTGAAGACCCTAATTCAATGGATTAGACTTGTCAGATATTATCATGATAATATAATAAATCCAACACAATCAAAAAATATTAGGGCAAGGGCTTGACCTTTTAGAGTGAGACGGACCCAATCTCTTTCTTCTCTAGGAGTGGGGTCCAACCTTATGTCCCAATGTCTCTCTCTCTTCTCTTCCTAATAACATAAGGAACCTGATCTACGCGATAATGAGTAGTATTAAGAAACCAGTAAGTGTTTAATGATGATGACATAATTGACTTGATCCGTAAAATAATTACTTAGTAACTAGTAGGGAATAAGGGTAAGTTGCAACTGGGCTGCAGGATTGGACCAGACTCAACGACTTCGGTGTTTGATGATGATAACTCTCTCTCCTCACTCGTTTTTCAGTTTTTACTAGATTTTTCAAGGGTCAACAATTGCCTTGGCTTGAACTGGATTCAACACCAAGGTGGATGAATTAGGGAGTTTGATGTTGTCTTTGTACAATCATCTTCTTACGTGGTCAATCACCAGCAACTTTGGTCAAAAACATGTTACTAAGAGTCATTAGTTAGTGAAGTTATAATTACAAATCCTTAGAAACCTATTAGTTACTTTGTCTTATATCTCCTTATATTCTTTTTTTTTTTTTTTTTAATACAGTTGGTTTCCGGCCCGGATAAAAGAGGAGGGTTGTCGGATAAAAATAGAGGGTTTGCATTAATTAAATAACTGACATAAAACTCGTCAAACTAAATATGAACATGAATTCGAAGAATAGGTGAAAGAGAATTCATATATTCTATTCTAAAAAATAAAAATATTAGGACAAGACTTTGTTGAGTTAAGTTTTCTCTCTCCCACCAACCCGAATCCCGGACATGATCAAACTGCACAAACAAAGCCTACCAAGCACAGCACCAGCCAAGATTTCTGGTACTTTCAAATGGTTCAACTTCACCGTGTTCACCAACATTTTCAGACCCTTAGCACACATCTTAGCTGCTGCTAACTTCTGATGCCAAAATCCATTATGAAATACAGGCTTAAATCCATCCGATTTAATGCAACCAGCCATCCCCAACTGTGTCTGTGTCCCATTCTTAAAGCCCATAGTTCATACCCTCATTGGTATGCTACCTATTTCCAGAAGCATCCCTCACAGCAAAAGAGAAGATGAAAGTTGTCTCATTTGTCAAATGTCCTGAAAGACATTTCATAAATCAACATCCTTCGAAAGATGCTGTGTTTGACTCGCTTTTAATTCCAGCATCTAATCATGATCCAAAGTTTACAATTTAGAATCAAAAATACGTCTCATGACAATTTAACACATTGGATTCTTTCTTATATACTACCGTAAAAATAGAGAACTTGATCTGTCAATTACAATCTATCAGTCAAATAAAATGTCTTGTCTATGTCATATTTACAATCAACTCTTCATTCTTCAGCATGAGACTCACCAATAGGAGGAATGCATGGTAACAATACATTCAACCCTTCTAGCGCATGCTTCCATTGCAAAACCAGAATTTCCAAACACCTAGCCTGCCCTCCTAAGCACCGTCATTGCCAAGGTTGTTGACCCGTTCGCATTCATCAATCCATTCACTATATCTGTCGCCACCCACATTAGTCAGATAAAAACAACACTGAAAAAAATAATAAACATAGTTCCCATAATTCTCCCTATAGGTTCACTTAAAGCTGCAAACAAAGAATGAAGCAAGATCAGTTGTGACCTCAGATATTCAATGAAAATAATTGTTTATACAAAAAAGGGCAATTCACATTAATATAAGACAGAGCAACATAAGAACATGAAGCAAATAACTGTAACTCTGTCAATTCTTTAAATTCAATTAAATGATTAGGCATGCACCGGATCTATAAATTGCCTACTCTGCACTCCAACTTCCACCCGTCAGTAAACTCCATCAAATATGTTTGTCATCTCCAAATTAGGTGACTAAGGAATATTCATTTTGTTTTTGTGGGTTCGTTACAACTTTGAAACTGAAATCCATGTGCTCGAGTATCAAGTCCTACATCTAGACTTGAACAAAATGTGACCCTTTTGTGAATTGTAAGGTTATTGTTCCTGGAGTGCATAAGACATTCACCGGAAATACAAAGGGCTGGTTATAGAGCAACAAGCCAAAATGTTATTACTTAGACTTAAATGTACCCGCGAATTTCTTCCTTTTTCGGTATTAACCACAATCAACTCAAGCATAAACTAATTCCAATTGCAACTTGGCACCTTAATAAGAAAAATTACCACAACCAATTGCATTACAGGATTTTTGTCCCCTTGGTTTAATGTTCTGGAGAAGTTATCATCCAGACTTGAACATTTTTGTCCAGACAAGTCATTTAAGAAAGAGGATATCAAATATGATCCCACACTTTTCTTTTCTTTTCTTATTTTTTTGGTGACAGGCAATCTTGCCTCTTTGTTGCTGTTAAGTGGAATCTAAATTATTTACACTCAATTACCTAAATTTGCATGCTAATATTCCTTGATTTGACAAGCAGAAGAGTGCAGTCAAGACATCAAATGCGACATATTCGAATTTTCTTCAAAAAAAAAGTATATCAATATACTTTTATCCCACTTTCCGGGAAAAAAAATACATATATCCCGAAAATTGGCAATCCTTAATTCTCAGTATTGTAAACAACTAAGATTTTTCATTATCCTTTTCTCTGATTCCTATTTATATTCAGTCAGACATTCAGCGGTATATGTTGCACTTTTGGGTTTTAATTACATCATTGCAGATTCAAAAAGAAAAATCCATATCCCACAATGTCTCAGATCATATATTACCATATATTAACACTTTCAAACCTTCATAAGCATCATTAAAAAGCAATGACTTAGTGTATACCTGTTGCAGTTGTGCTAAAGTTCTCTTGACATATCCGGCACACCACCTCGCCAATCAAATTCTTCATGTCACTGAAACCAAAAAAGTTTGTATTCAGTACATAAACTCAAATGTTGTAGTCTATATATCGGTAAACAATAAATTCTTAAATCAGGTCAACTGCCGCAGCCCATTCAGATGAAATATTACACCAGTAAACACAAAAAGGGGAAAAAAAAAAAAAAAAGCAAGACTGCAAGTGAATGCCAAGGCAGATTAAATTAGTTGGCATGTACGCCACACCCGATAATATGCACCTGAAGCCTCCTTAAGTAAACAATTGAAAGAGTCTTTGTAAACTTCGCTTCTTCACTAATACGTAGATTGATGAGACCGGCTGAGCCCAACATTTATGGTCTAATTGGTCCAAGGAGAGAGTGCGAGAAAGGAAAAAAAGGGGAAAAGAAAAATGAAGGATTTTCCCATGAATAGTAGGAAAAGGAAGAGAGGAGAGGAGGGCTTCCTCTCTCAAGTCTCGACCCACTCCTTCCCTTCCATGGATCTTTTCTTTCTATTGTTTTCCACGTTAAATATACAGACATCACAGAGCACAAAAAGAAAGAAATTATTTTCTTCGCAAGTGTATATTGGTGAAATCAAGCAACATCCTTTTCTTTCTGTTCATCCAAAGAAAAAGAAATAGAAAAATGTGGGAATTGCAGCATTGTACCTTCCTCTCCTTGAAGAAGAAGGAAACCCCTAGTCTAAATGTAACAGATATAATGGCAAAATCAAGCACAACCATATTCCACTTCCTCCTTTCTTAAATGTGCAACCAAAAAAAAAAAGGGGGAATACACCATATGGAGTACCTCTTCCATGTCTCCTACATCACTACGTGCGACCTTCCTTGGCTTCCACTTTATTCACCACTTATCACCAATCAAAGCATTTACAGATTGTCGATTTTACCGTGTTTCACATCATGGTGTTTCAAGAAAAATATAGGTAGTTTGCACATAGTCGACAAATTTAATCCGGGATGGAATGGACCAAAAGTAAGGGATCCTATTCCTCACCAAAATGGCAGCCCTCCCCCAAGTGCATTAATGTACCATGCACAAGTGAAGAATCAAATGAGACACTTACATGCGACATTCCCCGCTGCTCCCATGGTCGCAGAAAGGACAACTGAAAACAGTGTCAAGCTTCTCCATTCTCTTTTTCAGAGCTGGATTCGTCCTAGACTTCCTTTTACCCATTTGTGAATGCAACTATTTGCTTTCTGTACCATCACAATAAAACCAGTTAGTTCATCTGTCGGATCATGTGGTATGTAGAGAGAGCTCCACTCTTCCAGAAGAATATGCAAGTAAATAAAAGCTACAACAAACTACTAAAAGCAGATAAAGTGACAAAAGAAATATGACTTGCTTCTTTACCTGTGCTATGATCAGTTTGTTGAAAGCAGTACCAAGTATCTCTATCCAACTATATAAGCTTCTTGAGGTATTGATTATCCAAAAAGTAGATCAGACAAATTACAAAAACTGGTACTGGATTATCAATATCTCGTCTCAGGCGCAACATCTTTGCTAAAAAAAATATACCATTAACCAGGCAAAGAAAAATTCAAACACCGCACTAAAGTACGCCAAATCAAATTCCAACAGACAAGCCTATACTCCAACTAATTGCACAACCAGCGGCGGATGGGGACAAGGAACCCTAATTATGTGTACCAACAGTAACCCAAACATATACATTACGTCGCAATCAAATCAAAACTAATTTAGAACGGTTATTCTTGTAGGGTTTGGGGATTAAGCAGATTAATTCAACAGATAATGGATTAAAAAATTAACAAATATGATGGGACATTTATGGGAGAAGACAGATCGGCGACATGTGTTCTCGACATCGTTATGATTTCAGCCAGGCATGACCGCGTGTCCTCGGCAACACTCACCCCCTCTGCCGAGGAGATAGTGCTCGGAGCCAAGGGATCCCCCACATCGGCGTGATCAACACATGTCCTCGGTTCGGTAAAAACCTTGATCTACGAGGTAGACAAATGTTCATCGGTACCGAGTTGTTCCTTCTGCAGGCTGAATCCAATCTCTTCATTAAATGCTCTCATGCCTGGGCATTTAATGTTCCCTCGCTGAGGGAAGTGCATTGAATACTTGGCAGGCTGAGGGGAAAGCGTCAATTACTCGGCGCCCCGAATAGTTAAGGCTGAACGCATTCCCCACTAAAGAAAAGGGGGCACACTGCCCCATCTCTAATGATTGCCTACTAATTATATTATCAGTAATGATGAGCTTTTGAAAGTATAAATAGTCCTCAAAAATATATTGCAAGGGTATGCAGGAACTATTAAAAAGAATCACAGTGCTTTCTTTTTCTCCTCTCTCTCAAAGAATTGACTTGATCATCGGAGGGGATACGCCGGAGATCACTCTAGCACCTGTTTTTCTGTGTCACAGGATCCCCTTACAGTCTTCCAGGACCGGTCAGGCGATCCAACAAACAATTCATCACCAATCCTTAGGGTTCCTTTGTCCCTCTCAACCTACTTCTTGTGGTCAAAATCCACTTTCGGATGGGTCGAAACTCTGCCGGAGGCGACCAGAGATTCTGAAAACAAACATTCCATTCTGCCAGAATTACTATCTTGTCGAACCACAATTCATCGTAGGAGAGATCTGTTCTTTTAGCGCGCACAAAATATAAAAATTAAAACCTAGATTTTGTTTTGCAATATCAAACTACTTTAATTACAAGAAGAAACAAAATCCATTAATTATACGAACCCTGAACAGACATGCATAAAAGAAAACAAAATTTTTGCAGATCAGAAGAATTAGGGCGTACCTGTAAATTCGAAGATCGTAACTCGAAGAGGGTTAGCTCCAATAATTCGAAGAAATCATATAGGAGAAACCCTGGGAACACTGTTATCAAAATCGGACCGGACCGGTTCAACCGTGAACCAGGACCCTAACCGGTCTAGTTCTTTAGTTGAACCGCTTAAAGAAGCGAACCAGCTAAAAACCGAAAAATCGGCTGATTTTTAACAAAAACTGTGAACCGTCGGTTTTATAAAAATCGGACGGTGTAATGTCTATTTAAAAATTAAATTACATAAATAATTTTTTTTGTCCTAAATCAGTAAATAGCTGATTTTTTTTAACCTTATTCTTGGACAAATTATAAATGACACCCTTTCTTTTTCTTTATAATTTACTTGAACCCCTTTATTTTGCTTTAAAATACAATAACCCTCACTTTATTACTTAATTTCATTAATTTTTATGGCAAATTATATGTATTTTATATATATTTTGTATTTTTTAGCTAAATTATTAAGTTTTATAATTATTATATATATTTTTTTATTTTTTTATTATATGACCGGTCCGACCAATTGATCCAATGGTTGAACGAGTGAACCATTGACCTGATCCCTTTGTCGGTTTGATGACCGGTCCAATTTTGATAGCATTACCTGAGAGGATACTTGTAGGCATTTTTGCCTGGAATCGAAAATTTATGGAAACTTACCATGCCTCAGATTCACCACGATGATTCTTGGGAAGTTGTTTTCCACTCAAAGACAGATTGTCATCAAGTAGAGTTCTCGCCGTGCTCGGAACTCTTTCGCGCGCACCAACAGCCACCAGTAACTAACTCCTCAAGTGAGATTTTTTTTTTATTATGTGCCAGCATCCCGAGGTTATAATTTTCGTGTCTTTTTTTTTTAATATTCAAAAAAAAAATTAATCAATTTAGAAATTGAATAGGCATTATAGAATGTTTTTTTTAATGATAAAATCATTAAAGTGATTATTTTTTTGAACAAATTTTTAAAAATAGTAGTTAGTGAGTTGATGATAATTACAAATGACGGGGGAAGTTTTCTCAAGTTCTCTTACTTCTAATTATTTGTTATATATAAAGAGATATGATGATGCATGGGATTAAGCTAAATGAGTTTTGTTGTGACGTGGATGAGTTGTCTCTATGTGTGCACAAGTTATCAATAAGCAAAAATATAAAGAATTAAGTGGTTTACCGAGTTAAAGAGTCAAGTTAGTCTATTGTAATAAACGCTCTTATTCCTCTGATTTGTATTATTTAGAGAGGAAGACAGTTACATATTTTTTTTATTATAATTGTGAATTGTTTGGACAAGACAAAGGCTTGCCTACTTATACCCTAGGGTAATGTGGTCCTTAAACAATCAATTATAGGGTGATACCCTAGGTTGCTAAGATATTTAAAAGAATATTAGGCACCATTAGAAGCATTATTCCCTACCTATGACGTGACAGTCTAAAAGTTAGTTATGTGACACTCTTAAGATAAATTCTTCATTCTTAAGATAAGATTTGATAGCATAAATCCTCTTTTATTCTTTTCGAATTGCGAGTTGAGTTGTTTCAACTAAATTAATTTCATTTGAAGACTATTGAGTTGTTTCGTGCCTTAGCTGATATGGATTTTGATGGATCAGGTCAGTCAAGCTAGTATCAGGTCGATTAGTGTGTTGTGTTGTAGACTTGTTTACATATGAACTTATTCTTGGTATCATCGATCATCAAGATAGATATATAGATTTAGGTTCCAATTCCAATCCACAACTTTAAGGGGCAACTGTAGGGGTAGTGGTTATTAGGTCACCTCTAAGCTCATGAGATATATTATATAAGTAATATTATTGAGACCTAAAAAATTAATCTAATTTATTGACGTAATGATATGATAACATGATCTAATAGTATTATTGTCACTGCAATGATTTGACTTATATATTGAGACTTATCACTTGACACGTTATCATATTAAGAAATTAAGTTAATGTATTAGGTCTCAGTAGTATTAATCTTATATATACAACTAGATTACTTACTCATTAATAATAAATGATCCATCAAGTAGAGAATTAGAAGAAGAAAAAAACCTTAGAGGATATCCCAATCCCCTTACTTTGTACTAAGAACTAATTGAGGTGTGACACATTTTCAAAAGAATTGAAAATATTTCAAACCTTATGATATGCTAAAGAATATTCCTACTTGCTAAAAAAGAAAGGAATATATTTTTCAGTCTTTATTTATTTCTTCATCAACTAAGCATAAAAAAGGTATTATTTGGTAATATTTTTTGAGATATTTTAATTTGTTTTATACAATTTTACTTTTTTACAAGTATTTTGAGTAATGCTTTTTCTTTACTTTGTTTTTTGTTTTCCTTTGCCTATTTATTTTTTTTTCTTTTTTTGAAATTTAGTAACATTCATAGTTAGATATGTAGACGGGTCAAATTAAAATAAAAGTTCTTATATCTACATAATTAAGATTACATATTAATTTATCCAAACCTGATTATATAACTACACAATTTTTATTCTGAGTATTCTTCGCTCCAACTGTTGTAACCCTTTTCTTGGCCCTATCTCCTACCCAACAATCGGCACGCTCTCCTCCCCCTCTTGTAGTCCCTCCATTCTCATTCTTTATCTATAAAATCGCTTATCTTCCTTCTCGTAGCATTTTCCATCTCCATAGCCTTGCCTCCCCCCACTCTACACCTCGTTGCAACCCATCCGTAAAAATTTCAATAACCACATAGGATGACTGCACATCCTCTCCACCACCAAGTGTTTGAATTAGTTAACGAAAATCGTAAAGAGAAAATATTGTGATAATCAAAGTGACAACATTTCCTTGCAATGTGTGTGCACACGCACGCAAGAGAGAGAGAGAGGCATCAAGAATGATGGGTTTGTTCGAGGTGGGTGCAAATACTTATGTTTGTGCATAAGATTAATAATGTTCCATAAATAATAAAGGCAATACTATTTATTTTTTCATTAAAAACATTTATTGACATAATCTAATTCAATGACATGACATCTATTCATTAATTTTTCAAAACTAACCGACCCACATGCCATTTCACAAATATTGAGATATCAACGCGTGATATTTTGATAACGCTTAAGAAATCCGATCATAATCTATCATAAAATTATTACAGAGTGGGCCCTTAATTCTAGAGTTTGTGATTTCCACAAGCAACTTTATTCATTGTATTTGGTAAAATTGTTTGGAATTGTTGTCTTATCCATATGCCCATGTCCATGGGACAACTTGAGAACCAAAGTGGTTCATTATACGAATATTCTATAGTGGTTCAACAAGGTGGGGAGCGTAGCCATCAGCCTGGAAAGATGTGGTCCCTCTAATAAATTGTG